CTGCTTGTTGGAACTCGTGCGCAGTGGGAGCGTAAGCACCCCCCTCCCTATGCAAAAGTAGACGACGCGTCCGCTTCTCCCCGACCCGTGCACAACGAAGGTGATGACGGCAACATTGTCGGCAGTGGAAGCACGAGGGTTCGCGAAGTGATTCGGCCCGCCAACGTCGGCATTGGCGGAGTGCAGGCGCAAGTGCTGCGATCGTCTGCGACTGGAGGCAGCTCAAACGGCAACATCGATGGTCGACGCCAATCGCCTCTGCGAAGTGGAGTCAGGCCGACTTCGGCGACTCATGCGTCGGTTGGTTGAGACGGAGGCATCGCGCTAGCGTACGAATATTTTAAAAATTTGCCAGACAAGATCGCTATGCCAAAGCCGCTCGAAGGTCGACACGGCTTGATCACGTAGATTGAATCCATCAAGCCTCAGTTGGAGATCGCCAGATTGAAGAAGTTTGCCGACGGCAATGTTGAGACGCCGGACGCAGACGACTCTGAACTCTGGGCGGAATTTCGCGCTGCTCCTCTACTAACATTCATGGTCATTTCGAGGTGTTGCTCGCCTCTGGTGTAGTCGTGCAGACAACTGGTGGATGCTGGCTACCTAGCGTGGCAGTACATCATGCGCACCTACAAAGTGACCAACGACCTCTACATCAGTCAACTCGAAAAGAAGTTGACCAACATTTGTATGGGGGAGCAAGAATCGGCAACCGAGTACTGCAATCGAGTGAGACGAGTTTTGGCCGATCTGCGGATGGTTGGCATCGACTACTCGGTGGCGTCGTATGTCACCCATGTCATCAGCGGCCTCCCCTCGGGCTACAATCTGATGCGTCGGATGCTGACAGTTCCCGGCACTCGCGAGACTCTGAACGTGGATTTGCTTTCGAGCCCATCATCCAGGACGAGTTCATGCCGGAGTATGAGCAACTCGCAGAACTGCCTTTGCAGACCAATTACGTTGCCTCGGCGAAGCAGGGAAGCCAACAGGGGTAGCGTGGGAAGTCTGGCGGAGGCGGCGGTGGGAAGTCGTTGAAGGCGAAATCGACGGAGGGCGCCGACCGCAGAAAGTTGGCGAAAGGAGGAGATCGCGGCAGCAGTGGCTCGCGTCGGGAAGGACGCCGTTGCTACGTCTGCGATGCTCCTGACCACCTCTCGTACGACTGCCCTGACCGAGACGAGTCTGACGACGACGAGGACGCCAACCGCAGAAGGTCAGATGATGGCCATCGTCATCGAGACAACCAGCCGCGCAAGGAGAAGCAGGCGTCGAAGACGTCTTCGACGAAGGATGCTGACTCCTCTGGCGGCAACGCTCATGACGAGGAGGCTTGGTGCTCGATGGTCGGCATGGTGGAGCCGACGATCTCGCCGGTGCTGGAGGTTGATGAAGACTTCAAGGCGGTCGCTGCTGCTGTTCAGGCCAACCGGACTGTTGTGCTGCTCGATAGCGGTTGCTCCCACCATTTAATGGGGACAAAGGAGGCCTTCGTCGACATGCAGCCGCACGGCAACGTATGCCACGTCCGCAGCTTCAACGGAGCACTTCAGAGCGTGGAAGGCAAAAGCACCGTTGCTCTGCAAGGGGAGGCCGGGAAGCAGGTCCTCGTCCCCGACGTACTCTACGTTCCGGGTGTGCACGTGAACTTGCTGTCTTCTGGCCAGCTCAAGGAGAACGGCGTGAAGCTACAGGACGACGGCGGAGAAATGCTGCTGGTGTCTTCTGTCGGTGATGTCCTTGGTAGAGCACGTTACTCCGGCGGAGTTCTCTGCACCGACCTGCGCCCCTGCTCGACGAAGTCGGCGACGACTTCGACGTAGGTTGTGGCTCTGCAGACGATCGCGTTGGCAACGAAGTCGACCCCGGACATGTTGCATGCTTGGCTTGCGCACGTCGGCGTCGACACGATCAATAGCTCGGCGAAGCATGAGGTCGCCACCGGTTTGGACATCAAGAAATTGACCGGAGCTGATCTGCCGTATGCCTCCTGCGTCGACGGCAAGGTTGCGCGGCACACCTTCCTCGAACAAGGATCGGACGCAGAGAATACGCTCGACGTGGTGCAAATCGATCTCTACGGGTCGTTTTGAGTGGCCGCCAACGATGGCAGTCTCTACTTTCTTCTGTTGAAGGACAGGAAGACTCACTTTGTGTGGCTGAGGCTGGTCGCGAAGAAGAGTAACATGCTGATCGTCTTCAAAAAATGGCTGAAGGTGGTGGAGAGGCAGACTTCGAAGACGGTAAAGATGCTGCGTTCTGACCGCGTGTGAGGATATGGTTCAGGAAAGATAAAGCTATTCAATGATTCACCAAGGTACAAGGCGAGGCTATATATAGTCTCAACACAAAGGCAAAAACCCGGGTATTACTAGAAGGTTCCGCGGGTCGCAAAGCGTCCTGAACGGGTCCTTCCCAAATTTGGGTCCGCGGGTCCGCGGGTCTGCGGGTCCGCGGGTAAACCTATGTATTCCCTCCAAAACTTACTTGTGAACTTTGGGTCTCTGTCTGAGATGAGTGTAGCAAGGATGTCGTGGATGGTGATGATGCGGTCAAAGAAGAGGCGAGCAGTTGCTTCAGCTCTAGCCATGGCGTCGGTCGGGATGAAGTCTCCCATTTTAGAGAACTTGTGAATCACCACGAGCATAGCGTCATGCCCTCGTGAGGTCGAAGGTAGCCCAGCGATGAAGTCCAGCCTGACGACTGGCCATGACTGCTCCGGTACGGGTAGAGGCTGAAGTAACCTTGCTTTCTTCTGCTTGCTACTCTTCATCCGCTGGCACATGTCGCATGAGGTGACAAACGGCTGCACGTCTGCTGCCATCCCGGACCAGTAGTAAGACTTTGCTATCCCTGCTAACGTCTTGTTGCTCCTGGAACGTCCCGCGTACTGTACGTCGTGAAACTCCAATATAATTTGTCGAAGCGGGGCATAGTTCGGTACCCGAATCTGTAGAATTCCACTACTACAGCAGCTTGATAGAGCTTGAAAGCACGATTCCAACGCACCAAAGATTGCAGGAAACGGTCCACTATAGCCAGAGATACACACAAACATAGCATTGATAATGACTTGGATGATTTCTGGTTTGTGCTCTCTGGTTTTATACTAGGACGCAATACATAATAAAAGCACACAAGAAAGTGTCGACCCGGGTCGTACGTTGAACTTCGTCGACGCGAAATTCGGAGCCTTGAATTTTGCTGAGCGAATTCCATTGACTGGAATTCCGTAGACGAGAATTTCCGCGACAAGAATTCCGTCGACCACCGATTGTAACTCCCGTGAGAATTCCGTTGACTTCGACACTTTGCTGCCGAGTTTCAAACCGAACGCGACCCGAGATCGATTTTGCCAAACTGTCCCCAATCTGTCCCCAAACTGTCCCCAATCTGTCCCCAATCTGTCCTGACAAGACACTTTCTGGACAGTTGAATCGAAAGGTCTCCAGTTCGAAACTCGTGTGCACCATAACCAGCGCCTTAGCAGAAACTGTCCTGAATCTGTCCTGAGACACTTTCAGGACAGGTTTGAAGGTCACGAGTTCAAATCCCAGCGCAGACATTTTGTTGCTCATGGCAGCATTTCCTTCTAACACGCCCCCTTGCTGTCAGGAGCACGCTGGACTAGCCCGGCTGCTGGACAGCATCGGTTGAAGGCTGCCTTCTCGAGCCGCTTCGTGAAGAAGTCCGCGGGCTGCGCCGTTGTAGGGATGTGCTGCACCTCAAACTTCTTCATGCGCACCATGTCCTGTAGCCACATGTGGCGACGGTCCACATGCTTCATGCGCCCCTGCAGCCCGCCCGCCTGGCTGAGCTGCACCGCTGACATGTTGTCGACGTACAGGGTGGTGGGGACACCCTTCTTGAGCAGTTGAAACTCCCACAGCAGGAACCTTAGCTTGCGCCCCTCCTTTCCCGCTTCCACCGCAGCCACAAGCTCGCTCTCGGTGGAGGAAAGTTTGGTTGCACCCTGTAGCTTCTCTGCCTGCCATGAAACGGCAGCTCCGCCAAGCTTGAAGAGGTAGCCTCCCGTGGACGACCGGTTCTCCTTGTCGCCTGCATCATCCGCATCCGCATACCCTACGAGAGTCAAACTATCTGGTCCTCCCTTGAACAGCAGCCCCTTGTCCGGTGAGGCAGCCCAGTAGGAGAGTGTGTGGAAGAGCTCATGCCAATGCGCATCGGTCCTGAGGTGTGCACCTGCTGCAAGGCGACTGCATGCAAAAGAGAGGTCAGGACGGGTTGAGATGGCCGCAAACTGCACCATGCCGAGAATTGACAAGCTCTCGGTCATGGTACAGTTGGCAAACTGCCCGGCGTCCTGCTTGGCAAAGCTGGCAGAGGAGAGAGGAGTGATTGGCTGCTTCTTTGGTGGCGCCCCCTTGAAGAACCGCTGCTGCACCTTCACCACGTACGCATTCTGGTGCAAGAAGAGTGTCCTGTTGGGGCGATCTCGCTCAATCTGCAGCCCCAGGTAGCGCTCCACTGGCTCCACCTCACGGAGCTAAAACGCCTTGGCCAGCAGCCCCTTCAGGTCCTGCAGAAGCTGCTGGTCTTCACTTGCCGCTAGCAGGTCATCCACGTAGATTAGCAGCCACACGCGCTTCTCGCTTGCTCCATCCTTGTAGTATAGGGCCTGGTCCACAAGGCTCTTCTTGTACTCCTCCACAAGGAGCACCTTGTCCAGCTCCTTGTACCACAGAAGGGGACTCTGCTTTAGCCCATAAAGGCTCTTCTGCACGAGGCACACCTTGTTGCTACCGTCGGTGAAGTAAGGCGGCTGCTGCATGTAGATCTCGTGGTCGATGGTGCCGTAAAGAAATGCATTCTTCACATCAAGCTGCAGCAAATCCAGGTCCATAGCTGCTGCGATTGAGAGGAGCACGCGAACGGTGGTGTAGCTGCCAACAGGAGCGTAAGTGTCGTCGTAGTCGATGCCGGATCGATGGCTAAAGCCCTTAGCCACTAGCCTGGCCTTGTACTTCTCCACGGTGCCATCAGGCCGCAGCTTCTTCTTCAGCAGCCAACATCCAAGTGCCTTGCTCATCAAGGCTCTCCATCTCCTCCTTCATAGCACCCCACCATTCCTTGCCTTCAGGTCCGGTCAACGCTGCTGCCAGGTCGAGGATGACACCTCCCCAAGCGCCTTCCTCCTCCTCATCCTCATCCGGGTACTCCACTTCGTCATCGCTGTCCGGGGCGCACTCGTCCTGAGCAAGGTATGCCACGTCGTACGGAATGTCCTCATCATCCGCATCCAGGGCCGTCATGGCTGATGGCTGAAACCGTACGGGCGGCACCCCCTTGTTACGCCTGCTGGAGCGACGTGGGGGTGGTGGAATGGGCTGGAAGGGGGGAACTGCAGGTGAAGGCTCATGCTCATGGGCCATTGGTGACTGCTCATCCACTGCTACTTCTTCTTCCTCCTCGTGATCAGCCATGCTGGTGTCAACCTCCAGATGACCATCCTCTGGTCCTACGGGCGCCGAATCAGCAACGGAGGGTGGACCAAGAGGAGGAGGAGTAGTAGGTGCCTTGCTGCCCAAAGGGCCCACCGAGAGATCAAGGGGTTTCTCGCCCCCTTGCACAGACGGTACCGGGACCACGATGACGGTACGTGGTGGCGGTGGATTCTGCTCGGGGTCGTGGGGCTCAGGGAAGAGAGATGGGACTGAAGCAAAGGGTGGTGTGGGCTGGTCATTCCCGTCACCCACGCGTGCACGCCACTTCTGCCACCATTCAAGTAACATGTCCTCATAAAAACGTGCATCCCGGGTGATGACCATGCGCTTTGACTCAACATCCATCACACTCCATCCCTTACGTTCCATGGTCATGCCCAAATGAATGCCCCAATGAGTCTTGCTTGCAAGCTTCCCCTCACGCTCATGCTCAGGAATGAGGTACTGCACCATGCACCCGAACACACGGACCATGGACTCATCGGGCTTGACTTTGAACACCACCAAATGAAGGGTCACACCATGGGGCAGGGTGGATCGGTGCACACGGTTAACCACCCACAAGAATTGCTGGAAAGCCAAGTGCCACCAATGTGCTTTCACCTCCATGTGCCCCAACATCACACGCATGCCCTCGGTTACCGTACAGTTGCGGCGTTCAGCCACACCGTTCTGCTGGGGGGTCGAGGGGCAGGAGAGTTGACGTAAAATTCCTCGTTGCTTCAGCAGAAACAAAAACTCATTCGACATAAACTCCCCTCCCTGGTCTGACCGCAACACCTTTCAGCGTCATCCCGGTTTCGCGTTCGGCTTCGGGAAGCCATTCCTTGAAGGCAGCAAGCGCGTCGCTCTTCAGCTTCAACGTCTTCCCCCAGGTGTAACGTGAGGCGTGGTCGACAAAAAGAATGTAGTACCTGCTTCCATCCATGGCTAGGGTCTGAAATGGACCGCACACGACAGTATGGACCAGCCCAAGTACCTGCTCCTCTCGCTCGTCGTGCAGCGGAAATGATTCACGAGTGAGTTTGGCTTCATGGCAGGAGGTGCACGTCATATCCTCACCTCCTTTCTCCAGGTCCATACTGAACACGCCACAGCTCGTGGCTGTCCGCTTCACCGCATCAAAGTGGACGTGTCCAAGGCGAGCGTGCCACAGGTTGGGCGTTGCCTTGGAGCCCACCGCGTACGTCTTGAGGCTGGCCGCTCCATCTTTAGCTTCCGGCTTGCTTGAAGCCACATCAGCAATCTCCTTCGCCGTGCCGTTGCTTGCCGTTGCATGCCGATGCAGCCTCTGTGCTGTTGCTTGCCGCTCCACCCGCCATATTGATGCATGCCGCTGCAGCCGCCGTGCCGTTGCATGCCGCTGCAGCCGTTGCACCGTTCCTTGCTGGCCCTGGTTTAAGGTCAAGGCAGTGAAGGCGATGGCGGTATCGTGCCGTTGCAGCCACTTGACCTCCTGATGCGATGATGCGAGTGACACCTTCCTCGGTTTGCAGATTTGCTCCCTTGTCCAAGAGCTGCCCAGGGGAGACCAAGTTGGCCTTCATTCCTAGCACAAAGAGGACATCATGTAGGGTCACACGCAAGCCATTAGTGCCCTCCAGCAAAACCTCACCAACACCCGCAACTTCCTGCATAGAACCATCAAACCCTTCGACTGATTTCGTTGCAGATGGGTCACGGATTACTGTGAACCACTCCTTGTGGCCGGTCATGTGTTGGGAGCATCCTGAGTTAAGGAACCACAAGTCTTTGTCGTCGGCCAGCAACTTTGCAGCCGAACACGCGACGGTGAGTGCCACGCCCTTCCCGTCTCCTTCAGCTACGTTCGCGGCTGCCGCGGGCGTTGTATCTTTCTTCTTGTTGGGGCACTTGGCAGCCATGTGCCCCTCCTCATTGCAGTTGTAGCAGCGCCCCTTGAAGGGGGCTCGCTTCTTCTCCCGCTTGCCATCCTTCTTCTTGTCTGCCTGCTCCCTTCCCCCTTTTCCTTCCTTCCCGTTGACCCCCGTTGTAGCCACGATGGTGTTGACAGCGCCCGAGAAAGCAGATGCATCACTGGTGATCTGCTTGTAACTCTATTCGATGGAGAGAGTATGCTCCTCCATCAACACCTCGCTGCACACGCGTTCCACCGTCATGTCAGGGCTGGAAATTTCGAGCTTGCGGCGAAGAAATCCGTACTCCGGTGGTAGGCCCTTCAGCACGTGGGCGGCAAACATGGCCATGTGGACCTCCTGTCGAATGTTCAGCAGCTCCGCTCGGATGGTGCGGGCCCTATTGCAGTAGGATTCCGCCGTCTCATCATCTCCCTTCGTGAGTTGGGCTAACTGGGTCTGAAGTAGGAAGCGTGGAGAGCATCACGAACTTGATAAGTAGACAAGATATATGCCCATGCTAGCTGCCCGGCTTTCTCTTGCTGAGAGAAACCAAGATGGACATTCAGATGGGTGGAGAAACACATCGGTCTAGCACCATGAATGCAAACATTTGGCCCTTTGCGTACTCCCTTTGTTGCAAGGGGTTGTTCGGGGCAGGGCTTGGTGCTGTCCCGTTGCAAAACTGCCACAAATCAGTACACTGGAGCTGAGGTCGGATGGCGCTAACCCACGCGGTAGGGTCGTGCCTTCCCTCCAGCAGCGGCGTCACGGAGATGTGTTCAACTCCAAACTTGAATTGACCGTAGCTCGTCCCGATCAATCCCGCGTCAATGGTCGGTGCAACAGCTCCTCCGCCAATGCCCACGGCAGTTGGAGCTTCGTGCGCAGCTCCTCCTACACCAGTTCCTCCTTGCTGGCTGCTCGTAGGTGCTTGGTCTGCCACGCGCTCCCGGACCATGCGTAGTAGACGACCGTCCACAATGAGGTCGACCTCCTCATCACGCAAGTTAGAGTGCACACAAACAGACGCCTCCAGCTCCTGACGGGCATTCAGGCCCTCGGCTCTCGTTAACCACTCCATCCGCGGTCTAAACGAGCGTCGGCCACACCAGCGAGGGAACGAAGTGATGGGAGGACGAAATCAAGCCGCTAGTTGGATCGACGCAGATAACGCAGCTCTGATACCATGTAGAATGCCACTACTATAGCAGCTTGATAGAGCTTGAAAGCACGATTCCAACGCACCAAAGATTGCAGGAAACGGTCCACTATAGCCAGAGATACACACAAACATAGCAGTGATAATGACTTGGATGATTTCTGGTTTGTGCTCTCTGGTTTTATACTAGGACGCAATACAAAATAAAAGCACACAAGAAAGTGTCGACCCGGGTCGCACGTTGAATTTCGTCGGCGCGAAATTCGGAGCCTTGAATTTCGCCGAGCGAATTCCATTGACTGGAATTCCGTAGACGAGAATTTCCGCGACAAGAATTCCGTCGACCACCGACTGTAACTCCCGTGCGAATTCCGTTGACTTCGACACTTCGTTGCCGAGTTTCAAACCGAACGTGACCCGAGATCGATTTTGCCAAACTGTCCCCAATCTGTCCCCAAACTGTCCCCAATCTGTCCTGACAAGACACTTTCGAGACACTTGAATTGAAAGGTCTCCAGTTCGAAACTCGTGTGCACCATAACCAGCGCCTTAGCAGAAACTGTCCTGAATCTGTCCTGAGACACTTTCAGGACAGGTTTGAAGGTCACGAGTTCGAATCCCAGCGCAGACATTTTGTTGCTCATGGCAGCATTTCCTTCTAACAGAATCTTTCCTGTTCCCTTTCTTACAGCTAGTCCTTCTCCCACCATAACAGCTTCTGTTTTTCTGCTGTAGTAATCTCTGCGTCCACGAAGTACCCATGTTGGAATAGACCCTTGAGCAGAGGGTTCATCCCGTCGAGCTGGATGCCTGCTACGTGACCGAGGCGGCTCAACGCTTCTGCCTTGTTGTGTAGCCTGGGTTTGTAGACGATGTTGTAAAAGAAGCACGTCTCCAAGAAGTCCACCCACCGCAACTGTCATCGTGAGAGTGTCTTCTGCGACTTCAGGTTTTTGAGGCTGTTGTGGTCAGTGTAAACTGTAGTCTTGGCTCCCTCTAGATAACACCTCCACGCCTTGAATGCTGTGACTATCGCTAAGGCTTCCTTGTCATGGAGGGTAGTTCAGTTCTGCTCCGTGTAGCTTCTTACTGAGGTAGGGAATGGGCTGCAAACCGCGTCTGTGATCCTGCATCAGAACTGCTACGACTGCCTGGTCACTAGCGTCTGCTTCGACCACGTATTCCTTGTCTGGTCCAGCAGGATCTCAAAGACTTTCCGCAGATGCTCCACGTGCTCTTTCATGTTCTTGGAGTAGATGAGTATGTCGTCCAGGTACACCACTATGTACTCGTCCAGCAGGGGTCGTAGGATGTGGTCTCCGCATGGAACGTCGCCGATGCGTTGCACAGTCCAAACGGCATCACTAAGTATTCGTAGGAGCCGTATCTGGTACGGAACGCCGTCTTGTGGATCGAGTTGTCTGCCATCTTGATCTGCCAGTAACCAGACCATAGGTCCAGCTTCGAAAATATTGTTCCACCACGCAGTTGGTCTAGAAGATAGTCTATGCGTGGTATGGGGTATTTGTTATTAATTGTCTGTTTGTTCAGTGCCCGGTAGTTGATGCACATCCATAAACTACCATCTGGTTTTGGAGTAAAGACAACCGGTGGATGGGCGGATCAGTTGTCTGTCCAGTAGATACTCTATCTGCTTCTTCATGTCTGTCATTTGGGTTGGACTAAGTCAGTATGGTGCACGTGAGATGGGTTTCGCACTTAATTTCTCCACGATCTCGTACTCGCGGGTTCGTGCTAGAGGTACTCCTGCAGGCAGGTCGTTTGGCAAGATATCTTTATACTGCTCCAACACCTCCTGTATTGCTGCAGATAGCTCCAAGTTCGGCTTGCTGCTGCCATCACCAGTGCTAAGTAACCCGTGTTACTCTCGTTCACTGTCCGTTCGAGTGCAAGTGTTGTCTCTGGGACAACACGTATCCGTCCAGCTTCGAAGCTCCACACGTTTCCCGTTGTTGTAGATGCACACCTTCCGGTTGACCCAGTCGATCTTGGGGAATAACTGCTTCAAAAAATATTGCCCCAATATGAAATCTAATCCCTTGATGTTCGTGATCGGCAACATCGACATCCACCTCAACGCCCCTATCTGCAGCTGCAATGTTGTCTCGCCATGGATGGGAAGCTTCATATTGTCCACTATCGTTGGTGTAAACTAGGTCTCCTCTGAGGATTCTCCAATTTTCTCCAACATCCCGCGGTCGCACACCGAGTGGGACACACCACTGTCCACTAGTGCATGGAGGCGTCGCCCGTTGTAGATCATCTAGAAACGTAGTGGCTGCTGTTGCTCCAGGTAGCTATAGATGGTTTTGCTTACAAGATCATAGGTGTCAGAATGTTATTATTGTCTAGCCTGCAGTGGGGTACTCTATAGCGAGTACAACCCAATTAGGGTTTCCTATATGTATGCCAACTGCTACTAGTGCAAACACTCTTTCTTGTTCTAAACTTTCTACTGCTTATTCTGACATGGTTTCAGAGCAGGTCGACCCCCTTGGGTCGATCCTGTGGGTGGGCCCACCACCTAACTGCTTCCGCTGGTGTTCTGCTTCTCGCGCGCCTCGGGCGCGCGCCGTCTTCTTCCTGCCGCGCGCGGAGCGGAGCGCGCGGCGAGTTTCTGCCCGCAGTGCGCCCCGAGGCGCGCGGCGGTTTTCTGCCGTGGGGGATCCGCGCGCGCCCCCCCCCCGCCATCCCGTCGCCCGTCGCGACGCTCAGGGGGGCCGCGCGTCGCCCTGCCCGTCGCCCGTCGCGGCGCCCTGGGCTCTAACGCGTCGACCCCCCCCCTCCCGTCGCCCGTCGCGGCGCCCTGGGGGGCCGCGCGTCGCCCCTCCCGTCGCCCGTCGCGGCGCCCTGGGGGGGCGCGCGTTCCCCCCTCCCGTCACTCGTCGAGGCGCCCTGGGGGGCCGCGCGTCGCCCCTCCCGTCACCCGTCGCGGCGCCCTGGGGGGCCGCGCGTCCCCCCCTCCCGTCACTCGTCAAGGCGCCCTGGGGGCCCGCGCGCCGCCCCGCTTCCGCTCACACACCGCCCCAGCTGCTGCCCCCGTTTTTGCCCTACGTTTGGGGGTATGGGGGTGGCAAGTATGGGGGTGGCGGGTGTGTGATCCGTCCCCTACTCCTCCTCCTCCTCCGTCTCTCACTGCTGCAGCTGCCGCTGAGGGGGGTGGGTGTGTGGGAGCCGAGGGTTTAGGGGTTAAGGGGGGTGCCGTGGGAGTGGAGCTAGGGTTCAGCAGGGGGTGTGTGTCAAGGGTGTGGGTCAATTGGAGGAGGTTGTGTGGAGGTAGCCGTCTTGTCGTCCGCAGCACCTGAAGTCTGGGGCGCTGTCCTGGTAGCCCAGAGAGTCTGCTGCGCCTGTCGCCCGTGGGTCCGTTGCTCCTGTAGCTCCTCGTAGCCCGTGAGCCAGTTACTCCAGTAGTCCGGGGCGCTGTCCCGGTAGCCACTGTGCCAGCCGCTCCTGTTGCCCGTGTGTCTGCAGCTTCAGCCGTCGTCTCCCATCTTCTCTCCTCTCACAGTCCCTCCTCCTCCTCACTTGCCCGCTGTGACTACCACTAGCTTTGCTTATAATTGTGAACTACTGCTATGCTTGCTCATTGTGCTGATTACACCCCACTTTGGCTATGGGGGTGTGTCAGAATGTTATTATTGTCTAGCCTGCAGTGGGGTACTCTATAGCGAGTACAACCCAATTAGGGTTTCCTATATGTATGCCAACTGCTGCTAGTGCAAACACTCTTTCTTGTTCTAAACTTTCTACTGCTTATTCTGACAATAGGATACGTAAAAAATATCGTCCTTAGGTCCTGCGCTCGGCGCTGCTGACTCAATATCAGGTTTCACCTGAGTAGGATTAGAAGGATTTATCCTAGGCTGGTACAACTTCTCCTATGCCTGGAATCTTTCCCTAAGCCTTTGCAGCTGTGTAGGCTTCACCTGTAGGGAATGGCGGCGAGCCTTTAGATAACGCTGCTGGGAGAGAATATTAACTCCTTGGAACGCTCGACCCTTATCAACGCTTCGGAGTAGGGCTTTTTGAGAAACTTAGAACGAGAATGGATTGACTAAGGAATGAAAGTGATACAAATATGAAACCCTAGAATTGTGTACCCCTTAGTATCTAACCCGCTACAGCCTACACAGGCTAGATCATATAAGTTTGACACACCCCCATAGGCAAAGTGGGGGAGAACAAGGGGTCACAAGACCAGTCAAGCAAAGCAAGGCAAAGCAAGCTCAGGGTGGATCACAACGTCACCACACATTCTGAGCACAAGTTCAAGGCCACAAGGCCAGTTCACATGCATGAGTACACACATATATATAACGCTAAACAAGCAAGTGCAGGTATACATATATGTAATAGTACAAGCAAGGTCAAGAAGTGAGCAAGTGAGGCAAGGTAGGTACAAGACCTAACAGAGTACAGAAGCGCTGATGGTCACAAGGCGCAAGTGCCTTGGTGAAGATATCAGCAGTGTTGGCCTCAGAGGCCACGTAAGCAAGGCGCAGCTGACCGCGCTGCTGAAGCTCACGAGCAAGGAAGTAGCGAAGAGCGATGTGCTTTGTTCTGTGCTCCAGTCTGTGCTCCCGACACAAGGCCAGCATAGCCTTGTTGTCTATGTACAGAACTGGAGGAGAACGAGGCGGCTCTCCTAGGTCAGTCAGCAGGTAGGTGAGCCAGCGTAGCTCCTGTGCAGCCATGGCCCCTGCGTAGATCTCAGCCTCACAACTGGAGCCGAGAACAGAAGACAAGCGGGTAGACCGCCACGAAACAGAGCCGGAACCAAGGCTGAAGGTGTAACCCTGTGACGACCGCTGCGTAGCCTGGTCGTCAGCCCAAGAAGCGTCTGCGTGACCAGTGAGAACCACTGGACTCCGCCCTCCAAGCACAAGCCCCATGCTCGACGT